CAACATGCTCCAGATCATTACCACTAACCAGAGATTAGCAAACATGATATTTCATCCAAAAAATTAAGCATGCACACAGCTTCAGTCTACCTGCAAAAAACAAAGCCATCCAGGAAATTATAAATAATCTGATTTACATGCTAGATCTGTCCTAATGTGTTGTTAATTGTATGTTATTGTAATGGGTATAAACTACCTTAGAGCATTCAGCCAGGAGTTGGTTTGTGAAGTTTTTATAATTCTTACAGCAAAGAAAGAAGCAGCACCCTAGAAAAAGCAGCTTAACTTCAGACGCCAAGTTAATGAATGCATGCAAATTGAGATTCCTCCCCACTCCTCTCAGAGGCAACACTTCCTGCTCTTGCAATTTTATCATGACTCTCACTATTTTTAGTGCTTTGCTTAGAGTCTGTGCGACTGGAATCACGTCTGAGACTCAGCATTAATTTTAAAAGAAAATATTTCCACTCCCCTGCATCCTGAGAAAAGCTTGAAAATGTGAAACGAGTGCAGCCTACAGGCTAAAAAACTAGAAAGAATACAAGAAATTCAGGATGGGTTTTGTTTTGTTCTTAAAAAAGCTCCCAATATCTAAGCTGATTCCCTGAGTGGCAGGAGCTAGATAATGCATTGCTTCCTCTTGGCTGACTGTTCCTCAGAATCTCTCCAGAGCAGATGTAAGGCACATCAACAGTTTTACATGGAAAAAATATGCAATGCACTGTCACTGCTTTATGCAGTGGATATTCTTACTCTTCAGAATACCAATACAGCTTCTCTTAAAAGTCATACTTTTAAAGAGAATATTTGACCTTTTGAACAAAGAAGAAATATTACTTTGTGCACAAACTAGTCTTTGTTTCTCTTCTCTGAAAGCTAACTCTTCTGCAACTAAGAGCATTTTGCTTAAGAAGATAAACCCAAGAGTTATGTTATCTATAAGAAATATATAAACACATGTTAAGGAGGAATATAACATCAGGCTTCTTAGAGGAAAGATGATGTTTTATATTCACTTTTACACAGCTACTTGCTCCTAATTATACATGCAGCTGGAATTTAAAATAGAAAGTTAGATTATCTGCTTTTATCTTAGATGACTGAGAGGCTTTTTAAAAATGGTACCACTAGATGGTGCAAGAGTTTAAATAATTCATAAATCTACAGCTAGTCCCCTGCCTCTTCTCCAGCAACAGCAGGAGACATCTTAGCACTGCCAAACAAACGGAGCTCCTGTGATTTCTACTTGGCAAAATTTTTGACTTTGGCCCTAGAGGCAATAACACACTCCCTTCTTTGGCATCTCTTTCAAAGAGGAGGAAATATTTGGTCATCTGAGGGAAAACTGGTAATGAAATGGCTGTGACCTCCTTAAGGCTCTGGGACTTGGGGGGAGGAAGGAGGTGACCAACCATTGCAGATCAGGGTGGCGAGAATGCTGCTCTTGATCTTGAGAAAAGGCAAATTCCGCTCCCTCCTCTGCTGGACTAGCTCAGCAAACCCAAAAAACAAGTCTCAGCCTCACTGCACCTCAGTTCTCATCTGGAAATAAGTTCATAGGGTAGGTAACATTAGGAGTAAGTCATGTAGACAAGGCAAATTTTCTATCAGCCAATAGACGTCAAAGAGACTGTTTAATTATTCAGGCATGCAAGATAACACATGGAAAGCACACGCCTTCATTGCACAGGAAAGAAACCTCCACCCAGCCATGGCTACCCACCATGTGAACCTAAAAAACCCCCCAAAAGCAAACAAAGAAAAACCTGCTGAGTAACACACAGGGAGATTGTGACCAATACGTTAATAACTAAGACCTGAAAACCAAGATAACTGAGAAAATTCTTCTCATTCTGAATACATTCATGGGATAGAATTTCCCCAGGAGATGGCAGGACTTCTGGCTTTTATTATAGGAAAGAACATTTCTTGGATATATATTATGCATTTAGCTGTCAAACCTTTTACTGTTCTAAATAAAACCCCACACACAATTGGTCATCAAGTCTGTAACTCTACCAGATTGGCAAAGAGAAATTGAACTGACAGTCTCAGAAAGATAAGACAGGATTTATCAGGAATCAAATTGCCCAAAAGGGATACCCAAGAGTGCCCTTTTCCCCTTGCACTGCACTGAACAGAATTGCATAATAAATATGTCAACAATATAAAAACAAACATGAACACAGCTGTTAAGAGATAGACTGGAAGACCTACAATAATCCAGTAATAGCCTGGTTGTTCATGGAGGAAAATGAGGATCAATAATCCAGTTACAGTCAAATTTTCCTCATGCACCATATAAATTCTTTATACAATGGAATAAGGCAGATATATAGTTACTAAATAGCTTCAACATCGATGTAGCTAGCCTCTTTTGGTTGATACTATTCCCACAGGAAATAGAAGAAAATCCTTTTACTTGAGGATGAGCAGAAACCACAAATCAATACTCTGCACTGATCACATCTGCACTGCAAGGCCTTTCCCAGCACTGTAGCACTGTGAGGCCTGTATCACCACACCCACAGAGCTGCTGGCCTGTACTGAGAGCACTTCATCCTGCAATGAACGATTGTGTCACCTCCTTAAGTGCCATAGGGAGAGCTGACCTAACCACATACTTCCATGCTGGAGGGTTTGCTAAGACAGAGTCTAAACTTGCCAGACCAAGTCTAAACTTAAATCCCCACAAATGCAATTACTCGCTATTGTTATTGAGGTGCCACCTTCAATGTCTTCATCTCAGGGTACTGTCTAGGCTATCTCCCTAGCTCAGAAAACTTCACTTGCTCTGAGGTGGAGGATGAAGCCATTTCAGCAAGATCTGTCCTTTGCAAGGTGTTAGATACTCCAGACATCTAAACTGGATGAGAATCCTGTTCTATTCACTCCTTTTTCCATTCCTAACAAAGCTCTTCCACCTGGTTGTAAATTTGGCTTCCAGCCTCTTTGTTCTAATGCTGCTGCAGACAGGGCCACTACACAGAGTAGGGGACAGGTTGGAGAGACACAAGGAATGAGGGCCTCCAAGCCCACTCTGAATCCCAGCATCAGCTAGCCCCAAAATCTGCTGTGGGAAAGTCATCTTAGTTACCCTGTGAGCACAACTGCTGGCAGCTCTTTTTTTCAGGCCAAGCTATTAAGTTCATTATCAGCCTCCAAGTGACAGAATTTTTAGCTTAATTTCTCACCACAGGATGATGCTTGTGGCCCTTCTAGACAGCAGCGGGGATACAGTGTGACCCAGCCTTGCAACCTAAGAGAAGCTGTTTCAGAAAACATTGCATGACACACTCCAGGTCAACCCACAAGGGTTGACAGCACATTGAAGCAAATAGAGGCCAGGCTCTTGCACTTGTGCTTTTCCTGGATCCTCCCATCCTCAGAACAAACACAGGACAACAGGAAAAAAATTCTGTCAGATAAGCCACTCTTGAGAAATTCTCTGGCGAGTATGCACCTGTCACAAAAGCAAACAAGGAAACACACCAGACAAGACCCAGTTTCCACACCAGTATGTGCTGAAAAGATCAGTGACAAACCACACAAGAAGAGGAAATGGCCCCAAGCTGCATCAGGGGAGGTTTAGACTGTGACAACCAAAAGTGTTGTCAAGCACAAGAACAGGGTCCCCAGGAAAGTGGTTGAGTGACCAGCCCTGGAGAGAAAAGATTAAATTTGTACAGTAAAAATGTAGATGTGGCACTTTAGGATGTGGTTGAGTGGTGGACTGAACAGTGCTGGGCTGACAGCTGGACCTAGTGGTCTCAAAGGTCTTTTCCAAGATAAACAATTCTATGATTCCACAAAAGAGACTACAATGGGTTCTGCAGGAGGCAGAGATTTTCAAAGCATGTATTGTGTATCCAGTGCTCTGATTAAGTTCACAGGTCCTAGTCAGGGAAGACACTAACTGCACATTTTTCAGCAGATCTTATATATTTACAGACTTGATCCCTCTGGGTGCCCAGGAATATTCATGAACCAAAATGCCAATCTAAATGAGGAAAATTATCTTTATGATTAAGGCTTAAGTACTCACATGGCACCTCATACTGTAAAATAGATTACACTGAGAAAATATTTGACTTAGGAAAAGCCCTATGAGACATGGAAGATCAGTTCCACAAATGGAGTACAAAAATGAAGATAAAAAAATTACATTACATTGTTTTTCACCAGAGCAAAGTCTAAAAATTAAAATGAATCTCATTCCCAGGCTAGCACTCTGAACATCCTTGTCTTCTCTGAGGCAGAAACACTCTCTTTTCTTTTAGTTTACTTTATTTCTTTCTTTTTAGGCACAGTAATAGCACTGGAAGAGTACTGAAATATATGCACAGATTCTATCCAAACGGCACCTTTTCTTGAAGTATTAAATTCTGTGAAATGTGTAGGCTTATTGAAAAATGGCATTACCAAAATTTATCTCATTAACTAGGATAAAGCAAGGTCAAACAACATGGCTAAAAAAATAACCTGAAAAGCATTTTATCTTTTAACTGAAAAATATGCAACTTTTAGATTATCTAAAAGTTCAGATTTCAGCTACATACAGGCACACTTGTGTTTTACTGGTCTCTAATGTGGACTGTTATCAAATTAGACATTAGAAGAGGCAACTGAAAGTCTCTCACACAAAAACACACTTTTTCCTTTTTAATCCAAAAGTTTTCTATTTTCTAATAAAAAGCACCACAAAGTATAGAAAAAGACATGGAAAGAACTGAAAGAATGCATAATTTGTCTGGAAAATGATTTCATTTTAGTTATTCTAGTAACTTTAGAAGAATTCTTTTCCAAGTGCAGGCATAAACTGATGAGCTCCCATTAAAGGAATTTCTAGTGTATTACTTTCTGGAGTTTAGTTAAATTCTTGAATGAAAGCATGAGGACTGCAGAGAAAAGACAGCCTGTTGTCCCTGTCACTGAAATGATCTGATAGAGAGAGATAAGTTGAAATCTTGGCTTTTCTGATGTGACTGCTCTCATTACAGTCATCCTGCTAGCAGTGACAAGGGACCTCGGAGCAAGCAGAGCCATCCCTCATTCAACCACCAGGTGAGTGGGCTCATTGCATGCAGAGAGGTGCTAAACTAAAAGCCCTGGTGTTCTTTAGGAAGGAGACATTGAGTTATTCTTGCACTGCTAAGCAGGCACTTGCCTGAGAACACTGTATTCACATATTTTAAAAACATTAAGCTCATTCTGTAGTGATTTATGATTCTGCAAGGTGACAAAAACTAATTAACTTTGCTCATTTCATAAAATGAATTAGAAATCTACAGAAGAAAAGATAGCTGGTGTTGCTCGAACAACACGTATACAGCAAACAATAGCTTTGAACTTCAAAAGATTAAGTTAGATTACTTTGTGATTTGATTCAAAAACAGTACTGCACAAACCAAATAGAACCACACAGAACCTGTAATGTTTGAGGAGGGTTTTGACACAAAATTGTTCCTTCTTTCTAACCAGCAGTACTGTCTTGGTGGTTATTTTAGTCACATTTTATTTGTTCTTCCCCTTGAGAAAAGCAACTTCCATTTTCTTTTGGTTCCAATTTAATTTAATTTAATTTAATTTAAAAATTAAATTTAAATTCCCATTAAAATTCACATTCTCTGTGTCAGTAGGATAGAGATTTGGACAGATGAGAGTATGTGTGTATAGGAAATAGTCATTTCTAGCTGAGGGAGACTTCAAGGGTATACTAAAGGTAACAGGCAATGTGCTCTACATACCTTCAGTGTCAGTGTCTTGCTCCAACTTTCACTGGGAGACAGAACAGAATTTGTTATTAAGGATGAAAGTTCTCCCTCACAATGCCTTTTTTGCTTTGTTAACTGCTCAACTCATCACTGGAAACCACCATGAAGCTACGAAGAAACAAGGGAGTATCTAGCTCACATTTAACTAATAAGACACACACAGCTTTTTCACCATAAAAGAGTGTAATTCTATCAACTGTCACATGTGACACTTCTCAGAAGAGGCATATTACCTTTATAAGTACACAATATAAAAAACAATTTGCTTGAAGTTCAGAATTAGTAACTGGCAGGATGTCTCACACTCATTATTTGAATCATCTGCTGGAAACAATAGAAGAAAATGAACTCTTTACCCACGGTTGAACACCAGGGCTAGTCAATGGAATGTAGCCAGTTCCCTGAGCTGTAAATTAACTTCAGTTTAGTTAGAAACACAAGCTGACAGTGAAACAGTATTGGAGGTAGATCCTGAAATTTACTGGATTTGCCAGATCCTCTCTGTCAGCTGGCAGACAGAAGGTGTTGCTGATACAGCCCTTAATCTGGCAAGGCTGTATCTACTTCAAGTGTTTGTCTAATTTAGTCCCACTATTGGGGCATCCAGCTGGTATTGAGGGTTACAGAGTCCAGCACTGGCCAATGACTCTGCCAATGTTTCATGGATTCTGAAGTTGGAAAGAATAGCAAACAATGCTGAGATGACTCTGAAATACAGAGAAGTTGCTTTATACAAGTATGACTATGCTTCTAGTGTTCCTTTTGAGGTGATTTGAAAACAGAGTTGCTTGAGTTTGTTTGTTTTTCAGTTGTTTTTTTTTCTTTTCCTGATGACTTGTACCCTCCCTTCAGTTTTACTCACCTTGCACTAAAAATGCTGGAGTTGCAAAGTGGGACTTGTGCACTTTGCAGGTATTATTTACATCTGCAGTTGTAACTTGGCACTCCATCTAGAAGGCTTTTGGTCGCACAGGCAGTTTTAAGCACACAAAGCAATAGTATCAAACAAAATTGATGGCCTGCAGATAATCCCAAATTAATCATTAATGGAAGCTCCAAACACAGCTGGAAACCAAAACATTGAACAAGCAATTTACACCAATTCTCTCATGGAAGAAGGAAAGAAAAATGGATTTCTACCATCATCCCAGGAAAAATAATCTTTTGTTCTGTCTTACTTAGAAAACTATAGACTACCAAGTATTTAGCATTTGTTCAGGGTTTTTAGTACCTTGTTTCAAACAAGAATTTTTCTAACCCAGTTTTCAGCTCACCACACCTTTTATGAAGGCAATAGAACCATGGAATGATTTAGGTTCAAAGGGACCTTAATGATCATTCAGTTCTAACCCCTCTGCCATGGGGAGTTGGAGCTAGACAACTAATAATTGCCCAGCTCTCCACATGCAGCACTCTTGCCTTCCTCTCATGTGTCTTCTTCAACTAATGCCTCTCCTTATCTTAATTTAGGTCTAATCCCTGAATTCCAATTTCATTCTTGATATATTTGCCTGTTCCTTCAAAAAACAAGAGTCACTAATATTCAATGAAAAACCTCATGCTTTAGGCTATTAATTGATAGAATAAAGGTAAAAAAGAGAACATGGAGCCTTTCTGATCCTTTTTCTTACAGTGTTCATTCAGCTGTTTGCTCACAAAAACTCTGCTACCAATTCTAGTCGTAAATGCTCTTTTCTTTTTCTCTTCTCAGAAACTCAATTGTTTGCTGCATATTGCCCAGACTCTTTTGGGGTTTTTCTGCAGTCATAGCTGCAAGTTTTCCTGATTGCTGCTTGCCTAGAGATCAACCACTATCTCCTCTATGAAAGTATACAAGGTTATCAAGTGTCATTAGCAGGTGACAAATTCAAAGCCACAAATTCAAAACATTTCCTAACATGCTCATGTGTGAAACTGCACACAGCCCATCTTCCCTCACAACCACCCAGCATTCATAACTTTAAAAACAATATCAATATGGTCATCATGAGTGAGAAAGGGCATCAGCATCACCTAGGGAACAATATGATTGTTCCCTACCAATATGAGGTGAAAACACACGTCAAAACCCTGTGATTCCTTAAGGACTAGAGGGATGCACCATGATAAAACCTTTTCATTTGGCCACACACAATCTTTTCTGAACACAGTGTGTGGGGTTTTTACATTTTTATCTCTTATTGGCAAGCATTTCCTTTACCATTACATTTGGTCACTTCTGGTGCTTCAAAAGCAGGAGAGTCAGTTCTCACTGCCCAGTAAAATCTGTGTCACTTGTGTTCCTGTTAGAGCCAAGCATAATTTCAACATGCTTTACACAGAAGACAAAATTATGGCAAAACTACCCAGATACAAAGACTGTAGCTCATATCCTCATGTGTGTGAAGGTTTTGCTTCTTTTTTGGCCAAGAGAGTTTATTCTGTGATATCTATTTTTTATTCAAATGAACACAACCACAAACACCACATTTCCTGACCCATTGTTTTGCCTCATGATAAATATTCATACTAGTGAGTATATATGTGCTTGTCAAATCTTAGCAGTAAAAAGACACAGCCATATTGCTAGTCAGATTTATAGTTCCAGTTACACTGACAGTCTTGTAAGAAAAAATATAAATACATGCTTTTAAAAAAGGAAACAACAAGCTACCAAGCTATTGATGACCAATACTCTGCATTTCCCCCTGTCTGTTAGCTTTAGCAATGGTGCCTAACACCTTGTGGCAGCAGCAGGTGGACAATGCTGTCTGTATTGTAGGAACTCTGTCCCACACTGGCACAGCACAGGGCATCCTGCCACAGTGTCAGTCAGGATTTTCACATCAGTGCTGGTATCTCACCATTTTAAATGTGGAACAGTGTAGCCCTTTTGGCTGTATTATTTCCAAGTAATTTCCAGGAGATCATGAACCATAACCTTCCTGAAATAAAGGAACATTTGTGCTCTTAAAGAACACCTTGTTTCAGTATGTAGTCTATTGTTTGCTGAAATATACCTTTGCAAAGGGTATTTTTGGCATTCTTTTTTTGGCTTTGTTTTTTGTAAGTCTACTTGGGGAAGACGGGAGGGAAGAACAGTTCCAACTTGCCAGCATGGTGGAACCCAGCCTTTACTGTTCCACAATTAGTCAAATACACATTTTGCAAACATTCTAATTTTTTATGCATTAGCATGTGGCAAAATCTTTCTAGGCTAACCTTTTTTACATATAAACCTCAGGAGTCTGGTATGGTTTTAGTGACAATTCCAGTGTTTGTTCTCTGAAACAACCTGCAAAATTCCATCTAAATTGTGACTAACAAAAACGGCCTGAATAATTTTTTAACTGAAAATATATTTTATAGTACCATAACTCTTCTGTAAGCTGCCTAATAACTAGAGATGCAAATATTCAAATAGTTATTTTTATTTCATAGCCATAAAGACATTGGCTCTATGACTTTCAATTGCCAACAGAGTCCAGAGATTAAGGGATTAATACTCCACTGAGTACCAGCAATCAGGTTTCCACACAACTAAATGGGTAAAAATTCCACAGGTGAGCCAGAACAAAAGGAAGGACACCTAACTCCCAACAAAGTAATCTAAAAACCAGCAAATCACTGAAACTCTCTCATTCACATATATGGACTGTTCCAAAAGGAGAAGTTAAGACACTGCACATTTTTAGCTAGTGTCAGACAAACTTGAGCTCAGAGGTTCAGGAAAAAACTAGGAAATTATCCCTGTTTGAAGTAAAACAAAAACTCACTTCTCTTCTTCCTCTTCATCTGATTTCAGTGAGAAAAAGTGCTTTAATTCACACATCTCCACTCGGAGTTATTGTCACTGCTGTATAAACTGGACTCCTAACACCCTCACTGCTGAACGCAGAAGTAGAAAAAAAGGCTTCATCCAAACACAGAACTGAAAATAACACGAAGAGAGGAACATGCCAGTGTCATGTCTTTTTAAGAATAAATAACTACTCCACTTCCCACTGTTGAATTTGTAATTAAGGTGTTTTACCACAGGCCTATATTTTGGTATTCCTGCAAAGTGCACTATTTGCCTAAAACAAATGCCAGAACCAGGGAGATTGGCATTATTTTATAGGCAGAAGATGCATGCCAGAAGGTTAGAAGCTCTTGGGGTTTTCTGTTTGTTTTGGGGGTTTTTGTGTTGTATTTTTTTTTCTAAGACTAGTAAGTCAAAATACATATGCCAGTCTTTGATTTACTGCTACCTAGCATAACCATAATGGGCTTTGTTCACAAAGATTAAGCTCAGGCATGCTCATTTGTCTACACTGAGGAGCACGACCTTCAGTCAGCTAAATCAGTATTTCAGTCTTTGGACAGTAAATGCTCTTCAAAAATCAGCTCCTTCTTTGGCCCTCTCTGCATGGGCAGGACACACTAGCACATAATATGTGCCAGAAAAAAGATGCAATTGCTCTCTGCTGCATCAGCACTGCTTGCACAAAACTCTTCCAGAATACAGGTTCACACACTGAGGCACTTACTAGCTATAGGTGGGATGCTCAAATACCTCAGTGGTTCTAGACATCAGTTGTTTACCTGCTGTAGAGAAAGCTTCTTGTTTGCTTCTGCTAACTTTTTCCCAGGAGGTAGTTTACAGCAGTGTGAAAGCATCCACAGACAGACAAGCTGTGGAGACAAGTTATAAACATGGAAAGAATGAAGCAATAAGCAGTAAAAACCTAAAGGGTTTTCTCTGACATAAGTGCACCTAATGTTTCCTCTGGCTTTGTATCAGGAAGCAGAAGTGTTAAGTATATAGGAGAATTTTAAAGGGTGAAAAATATGAGGCAAATAGATCACCTGAAATAAGAAAAAAATCGTACTACACTCCCCACAACTGCATTTTCCCCTACAAAATAATTTCATATTGACTTTTGCTGTGAACATATGGCAGAAAAAGCAGGGCACTCAAACTGTTATGAAATACTTGGGTTTTTTTGCAGAATTGCAGCCAGAACAAGGGCAGCACACTGCAGGAATCTGAGACAGAACTAAACAGCCCACAAGAACAGTTCTAGAGTTCTAGTTCTAAGTTCTAGAGCGACAATCACCTTCCCCCCACTGATTCCTTCTGTGACTTCCCTGATAATGCACTCAATGAGTGTGAAGGTATCAATATCCAAGGACTGAAGGAAAATTTACTGAACTCATCAACTGGATAAAGTCATAGCCCAAAGTATTATTAGCCAGCTGTGGGATAGTCAAGGGCAACCAGACCAGATGTAGGTCTAAACATATTCAGGTATTTCTGGGCGGCCACAGAGACATGAAAGCAACAATCTCCATTACAGAGACTTTGGACATGATCTGTGTGTCAGCCCTCACCTTGTGCATGTATCTGTGTATCATGGCAGACACTCCACTTGTGACCAAGTAGAACTGCACAGAACATTGATCAATTGATAAAAGTTCTAATGCAGAACAGAAACACCTAAAGTTCAGAATACTATTTAGACAGCTGAAAACAAGGCAAAAAATAAAACTAAGATGCTTTTAAGGATAAAAGATAGAAAGCTTTCTCAGTAACATTTGTGTCTATTTCATTAAGTCCCTTATCCCTTAAGAAACAATCTCTTCAGTAGGATAGTTATAATGGGGTTTTCATTGTGGGAAATGTACAAAATTAAATTCATTCCTTTTGGTTCATAATTCCTATAACCCCAAACTCCTCTATCATCTATCATCATCATCAAAAAGAGTTTTGTTTTCTCTTTTGTTTATATTTCCCATGATGTATGAAGCAATCCTTTTCTAGAAACAATGAAGCATGAGCTAATGTATTTATGATCCCCAGTACCACTGTGTTTTCTTTGTGTTACATCCTTCAAGAAAAAAACAGGTTTTCTTCCCTCAGGAGACAGTCCAGTTTACAGTGTTGGGCACCACAGTCAGAAATAGTGCCAGTTTTAAGAGTGGTTTAAAGGAAATTATTTTAAACATCCTTACCAGTGTCATCCTATTTATTTGTCTGTCTCTTCAGCAACCTGTATAAGGTGAGTAATGCCTTATCCCCCTATTTTGCTTTATTATCCAAAATGTAATTGAGGAAACTCATTATACCTTATGAGCAGCGTTCAGCTGTTGTGTAAAATTTCAAGTAAGCAATACTGTCCTATAGACTATGTCAATCATGGTTGTCTGCTTTGGCTTTCTTCTAAATCATACTCAGTTATGCTCTTCAGTCCAACAATTTTGCCTTGGATAAAAACAGGAATCCTCTGACTTCAGTAAAAGTGCACCAGAGGTCCAGAAAGGGCGGAGCAATGAGTCTGCAACTGTAAGGTGGATAGCATCAGGCAGTGCTCAGTTAAATAACGGGAACTGGTATACATGCTACAAAAATTATTGTGGTTTGATATTTTACTTACTGCTTTTTACTGCAGCCTTTTGATGTCCTTTCTGAATCAGGTTCAGAGGTACTGGCATGTCGTGCTTTCAAACTCTTTGTCACAAACCAGCAATGAAGTAGAACTCTGAAAGGAAAATTAACATCCAACAGTTTCTTCAAAGATGAACTTGACCTCTAACTTGTCATCAAACTGACCCAAAACTCTGCTAGTGGGGATGCAATCTCAGCAGCTTGTAAAGATACAGCTTGAACTGTTATGACACATAATTCAGTTTAAATTAAGTGGAAGCAAAGAGAAGCTAAAATATATAATCAGAAAGTTTTCAATTTCAAAAAGCAGAACCTGCATAAGACCATGTTCATTATGTTAAAGTTTTACAGAGAAAGTGTACGTATACAATATACTTATATTTGCATAAGGTTTATTTATTTTGAAACCTCAATACTTCCGTGTTCACTTCCTACCTTTGCTTTGTTCACTTTCCCACTCTGGAGTATGTGCCAAATACTCCATATAAAAAGAACACTGAACTTAGGGTCTCTGAAGATACATAATTAGAAAGCTATAACAAAGTTTTCCAAATATTTGTCAGTAATTTTACAACTATAAATCTCAGAACTATAAGCCAAATACAATCCTGTGATTTTAGATAAGTATCACAATACCACCAGAGACAGTAAAAATAAAAATCTGAACAAGATGTTTCTAAGAAGTAGAAGTAATTTCTTCTAAATTTGTCACAGTTCAAATGAAATATTGGTTTAAAAAAGAACAGTTCTTTTAAAAAGAGCCATTACTACTTGACACAAATAAGAACATTCCTTATGTAAACACAAATGAAAAAGTGGAATACAGTGGTTCACAACAGTATTGTATGTTACTAAAAGATGTGTCCTTGACAGCAAATTACATACAAAGTATACCTAGGAAAATGTTCGCTTAAATAGCCGTCAGTGAGAGTATCACTAATGTTGCTTAACAATACCTTACTACATAACCAAAAATTAAAGAAAGATCAGAGCCAGCCCTAAGTATTTTTAGGTGTGGGCCTGCAAGATATTTTTATAGGCCTCATGCAGGGTTAGGTATTTCTCACATAACTAATCCACATAACTCTGGAGAGAGGCAGCAAGCTGATTCACCATGGGTTTAGGTTACCTATTACCTATAAACCTGGATATTCATCTACTCGGCTCTGACACGTTGCCTAAACCACAAATCAGGCAGTGACAAGTGGGTATTCAAGTGGTAATCCAGGTTCCTCACTTTCAACAGTAGTCATTCAATCAGAATGAAGCAAAACCCCAGGTTTTTCATGCAGAGGGTGTTTTGGCACTGGAACAGGCTCCTGAGGGCAGTGGTCACAGCACCAGCCTGTCAGAGTTCAAGAAATGTTTGGACAATGCTCTCATGATGTGACTCTTGGGGTGTTCTGTGCAGGGCCAGGAGTTGGACTCGATGATCCTGACAGGTCCCTTCCAACCCAGTGTATTCTGATTGTACACTTTCCTTGGCAAAGTAAGTCAGTTCTGTTTTGAAGTTTCAGTTTCTGTCTGTAAATCATTCAATGTAGTGTCTATAAAATTACACAGTGTAATGTTCCACTGCATGCCTTCAAATATGAGAGGAATTGCTGGAGGCTTTCAAGGTGCAATTGGACAAGGTGTTTATAATTTTATTTGTGCTCCCTTTCCCATGAGCCTTTGGCCCAGATGGTTGTGTGAGATCCCTTCTAACCTGGGCTGTTCTATGATTCCATGGTCTTACAGATGTGAAACACACTAGTGGACACTGGGAAGACTAGAGCCATTAGCCTTTCTATGCAAATATGTAGCCAAATGAGGGTGGGAGAGTGTGAATAAGGGGAAGATAAAAGCAAGAAGGATATCCTATTCAACCATTTCCTTATTGATGTCGCCCCTTATCACTCACCTCACTCTCTCCCTTGCCATTAGTCTAAGAGGTTCTTACACTGGGCTAACATGGCAATCATTTTGTAAGGAGACAGAGTGGACTCTGTGGTAAGAGGCCTGAAGCTGTCCCATGTCAGACATAAAAAGCTGAGCCAATCTTGCAGGCACCAAGGTACTGACCTTGGAGGTCAAGAGTAGGGTGGGAGGGTGGGGTAGCTGCTGTGCCTAAAGAGAATCTGGTAAGAGAAGCCACTGTAGGACGGATATCCTGGTGGCCATCCTGTGTATCCCGTAGCCTAGGACAGGACCCACACTGGAACAGTTCACAAAGGAAAATGCACTGCTTTCTGATTAGATTTATGCCCCATGCACATACTTCTGTCAAGTTAAGGCTCAGCTATCTAGATGACACATGAAAACCAAACAGTTATGAGACACAATGGTCAAATAACAGTCATTGTGCTGTCAATACAAAATTCCTCCTGTAGACACAAACATTCTGGATAACAAAAAACTTAGCTGTGAGCTAGTAATGCCTGCAAAGCAGTTAAGCCAACACATCACCATGCATACTATGGCTCTGAATGAATGAGCAGGAAATAAGGCTTTCTTCTGAAATCTGAGAAATACGGAAAAGCAGCGGAATGATTCAGGCAACAATGGCCTGAAAGCTTAGAAGTGGTATGATAGCTTCCAGGGGGAATCCTTCAAAATCCCTGCAAGATGGTCTGTAATAGGGAGGGAGGGAAGGAAGGAACTCAGAAACCCCCCAGACAAATCAAACAAAACAAAAAAACCCTACTAAAACACTTAACACCCAAACCATTTATGACCAAGAAGCTAAAACTGAAATTCTTAGCCCCACACCCCCAGCCCCCCAACTAGATTTTTTTGTAGCATATGCAAGCCTGGTCTCAGATGTCTCTTTCACTAAGTTCACAAAACTTACTACTTCCATATATTTCTTAAATTTCTTAAAAAATCCACGACACCCATCTTAAAAATTTTGACTCATCATTGAAACAGTTGAAACTGGTCCTTTTTTATAAACATGGTACCACATACTATGTTTGGTTTAAACCACAGAGTAGCTCAGGATGACTGCAAAGCTTAGGGAGCACTATTTTGCTCATCACAACACAAGGAGTGTTTTATCACATGCAGTAACTCCTCTCTTTCTTTTATGTGATACTGCCTTGGTCAGCATGTTGCTGCAAATACTCTCTCTCTTTCTCCTTTAAGCACACACTTTGTGGCAAATTATTTATAAACCATAGCCTCTACCTTTACCCTCTGCTTCCCTTGTAGAAGCAGAGATTCAACTTTGTCCAGTTATCTTTTGCAGTAATCAAAAAAACTCAGAGTACTCAAGGACAACAAGAAGCTTATCGAAATCTGCCTTCCAGATTATAGCCCTATCACTACCACTTCCTTGACTTATAAACTGGAATGATCATACAAGGAAAATCACGCTATGTAAAGCCAGTGTCCACAAAGGAGACAGAGGAGTCCTGCAACTTCATTCCAATAAAGGGAGAGAGCCTATTGGAGCGCACACCCGCGGGGTTTTTTCTCTCGAGGTTTTAGAGGAGGCAGTCTCCTTTCATCCTGAACTGCTGGCCGCATGGTGCCCTCTTCCTTCCCCACTTGGCTGAGGCATTAGGAAGCTACAGCCTTCCAGAACCGTTTACTTCATATTCCCCCTTGAACCTGTCATTTTACCCCAGAGTTTAGAAGTTCAGACTTGTGCAGACCCTTGTCTGTTTCGGGAGTCAGACAGTCAGGGTTCTGCAACAAACCTGCTGCCTGAAGTTAGTAGAGACATTAGGGTTAAAACCCACATCTCCACCCATCGAATTTTTCATAAAGACGTTAGCACACATCTTCCCTAACGATCAGAACACTGGAAAAGCAGGTTAGACGCCAAAGTAATCTAGTAAAGTCTTTCTAAAAGACTTTATGTGCATTACATAGAGTGGAATTCTAGAGGTATTTTCCTCGCATTACATGCTGAACAGGGTTTAAGATGAAATATCATGTTTTAAATAGACACAGGAGATATAGAACCACCCCCAGTGTTCATAAAACCAAACAGAGCCACGCCACGGGGAGGGAGGGGACTGTTGTTCACCTGCGGTCACACCGGGATCGCCTGGGCACTGCTTCCTCACCTCGCGGAGGCAGCAGGTGCCTCTTTGCCGGGCTGCTCCGGGCTCGGGCCCGCTGAAGGCAGCGCAGCCGGGAGGCGAGGGCAGAAGCACGGCGGGATGCAGC